GAAATGAAATTAAAATTAAAGAAAACACTTTCTCTGAAAATTTCTAGAAAGAAAGTTAATTATACTTAAGAGCGAATTAGAAAAAAACCGCGAAACTTTTCGTCTTATATTTAGAGTACGCACAGTAGAGATAACCTGATACGTTTAACGAGTTCTTTCTGAAACCAGTCAACGTCTCTCTCTTTCTCTCTCTCTCTCTCTCTCTCTCTCTCTCTCTCTCTTATGATACCCGCCGCATTTGCCTATTTATCGAGAAAATCAACCTCTCTCAACCCCCGAACTCGCTCACGGAATATTCTGGGATACGCCGGTAGCTTGTATATACCTACACAATATCGCTTCCCAAGAAGTTTAAGTTTAATTACCGAAGGATATGCCCCGCGTGCCAAGTTCGCTTCTCATCTCAGCGCGGCACTTGTAAATGACCCCGCGACGCATTGAAGCGCAATGGTTTCGAGTTTCGAAATTTCACGAGATATGTTGTCCTGGTTATCAGGATGGCTTTTGGCAAAATCTCGTTGATTTGATTTTAGTAAAGTTTTATGTAGCTGTATTCAGGCGAAGATATTTAAATAAATTGAACGATTGAAACAATTCTAAACGATTATAAAAAGATGAGCAAATACTTACAATATACTTGGAAATTTTCTTTTGTTTTACGGAGCATTTGAAGAGATTCAAAACTTTATTAACATTTGATAGACTTACCTATAATTGCCTTTAAATATCACGTATTAAATTAAACATCTCAACATTTAGACATCTTTGGAATAAGAAATCTTACAAGATCTTGTTAGATTATTAATAATAATATTCCTCAGAGTTTCTCTCGCACCTTAATTTGCTCAGAATAGCATAAAAGATTGTAAAATCTGCCGGACAATCTGCCTTCTACTCATTTGCCCAATCCAGTTGTCACGAGTAAATTCAATGAGGTATGGAATCGATGAACTTAATCGGTGAAAATTTCTCATCGGAATTCCGGATCGTGAGAATCTTGACGGGATCGGAATAATAAGAGCCCTTTGGTATTAAATTCATTTGACTGAGGACAAAATGATGGGACGATGGAAGTAATTTAGATAGGCATAACTTTGTTCGTTTCGCGTAAATAATGTATTTCGCGATGGATGATCCTTGTAATATTTAAATAACTTTCCTTTAATGTTGGAAGCTTTTTTTTCGAATAACACTTCTGAATGGCCATACTTTTCTACAAATGCTCGCGCAGTAATGGTATTCCGGTATTCCGGAGACTTAATAATAGACTGCAGGATCAGTTGAGTATTGATTGAGGATGACGCTTGATCGCCTCAGTTAATGACGATTGGAAAGTTTCGTATGCTATAAACGCGGATCGATACTAACGAGAAGCAATTTCCATCGAAATAATTCGAGGGGAGAGAAAGCGCCATCGGGGCGCGAGAAAAAAATAAAAGGGGGAGGGGGAAGAGTCGATCGTGCAGAGGCTTTTTCGAACCGGGCGACCCTTCGACGAAAAAGGAGAGCGAGCGGATGGAAGTCGCAAGGTCGCGCCCGGGATATATAACGAGTTCGAACGAGCGGAATCGGATGACATCCCGGTCTGGATGAGTAAAGGCAGACGGAGAAAAATAAAGGGACAGTATGAGCGAGACGGCGCGATCATCCGTCCGGAATTAAATTGGCCGCGGGCGAAATGCTCGCGAAGCCGTGAAATTACCATTTTGAAGCTGCAACGCGCTTTCAAAGCCGCCGCGCCGTCTTTTTGCTCGTGCAATCCGACTACCGTGGTCTTCTTATTAGCGACATTTTCACGGTCGCCTCGCCGGAGACCACGAATAACACGCGTCGCGCCAATCAAATACGATACCGCGATAACTGGGCTGAAAAATCCAAGCCGAGATGATCAAAGTATCTGTTATAAAAACTGCGATCGGAACAAATCTCTAGTTTCTCATTTTAATTATGAGCAGTCCACGTGTTCCGCGCTGCGACATTCGCTGATTAATGTCGAAACAAATACATTGTCGACGAATAATATGTAATAACATATACGCTCGGTCGATGAACAAGAATCCGAACAAAGAGACGCGCTGGCAAATTGTATCACCTGCATCGCGCACGAGGCCATGAGTGGGTAATTACTAATTAGCGTGAAATCCTCGCGGACCAGGATGTGCGGCCAGCGGAAGTGGAAGTAATTTTTGTGAATTTCTCGTTCTCTGCTGGAAATTCGAGCGGAATCTCGCATAATCTCGCCGAAGGATCGGCATTAATTAAGCGTTTTCCCGAAAGAAAAAGCTTTCTCATAGAACGAGTTACCACGAGGTCGGGCTTAAGTTTTAAGAGGAGCTACGGCGCAACGTGAAAAAAAAAGTTATTACAGAGAGAAAAGAGGGAAAAAATGCGACGTCGCTTATGTTATGTCGTCATCCGTATGTGTTTTTTGTTCAGCGGGACAGAGCGAAGTAACGTGGATGTTTTCGAGAAATCTTTCAATAATTCTATAAATTTGTCCTGCTTACTTTTATCCCCTGGTTAGAAAACTTTGATCTGATTGGATAACTTGGACGGCGATTTACAGAGCGCTGTAATCTTTTATGACGGATAGAGAAGTAGCCATATAATATCGTAATAAAGACATCTACTTCTTCGCGCAGTTTATAAGTACATAGCGTGTCATAAAATGGAATTTAGTGAGATAAAATGGATAAACTTTGCACAGCAGTGGATGAAAACTGTATTGCCTAAAAAAGGATTGAATTTTCATAATTTTAATATTCTCATTAGCAATCGATGGATTTTCTCAAAGCAAAATTGTTCCAAAAATTCAGAACTCGATTTCTTCGATTTTGTCTCACTTAATTAAGATTTTAGGAATAACAATATTGAACGTCCTTTTTTAATTTTTTAATTTTTAGTAAGAAAAAGAGATAGGAAGCTTTGAGATGAAGCTCGTACTCTCCAAGTATACTTTAATCCGCCGGTGCAAAGAGCGTTATCCCGAGGAGCTGACAAAAAGTGCAAAGCAAAACCGAAGGAATGAAGAAAAACGACGGGACCGAGTAACTGAAAGTGTTAATAGAACGTAAAAGGCGGCGAAAATCTGTGAAGAAAATTCGTCCGGATCGAAAGGAGGGGGAGTCTTTGTGTCACCGAGTACGTAACAACGCGTGCCTTTTATAGCGCGTACACGTGACCGACGTGGTCACGTTGAATTTACCTCAAAGGTGGTTTCAAGCTCGATTACACGAGACGAAGGAATGAAAGTGGGGTTAAGAGGGGATGAGCCAATTTACGGTACGCGTAATTAGCGGAGGGTGGAAGAATGGACGAAAAAAGCTGGCGGCGGAAAAGTAGCGGGGATCGCTGTCACTTGGCCACCACATTTCTCTCACCTGTTCGCGGAAAGAATTATTTCGCGTCGCGAAAAGTTGTACATTTTCCTCCTCGCTCGTAATATAGCGCTGTCCTCGCAGCGAGAACATTTCCAGCGGATTCCATTTACAACGATTAATTATGATCGTGGTAGTTGAAATTTTCAATAATTGATTAACTATTTGCTATTAATATAATTAGTTAGTAATTATTACATTAGTAATGAATTTACTTTGTGAGAATCTCATACGCAATTTCGGAAATTATTTATAGGCTTTGTGGTGCATCAGCCTAAACTAATAATTTATTCGTGCAGCTTTATTTAGGACTTATCTCTGGAAAAATAATGTATTAAAAAGAGGATAATAAAATATCTGGAAAAATTACCGTCGACGTCGACGGAATGCTGCTGGCGTCAACATTAATCTTTTTGTTGCGTTTTCTCCGTTCTATGATGATCCACATCATAAACTTGAGATTAAGATACGGTGCATGAATCTGGGGTCATTTATTATCCGCTCCGACAGAAGTACGCTATCGGCGACAGCTTAACACCAACGTGGCATTTACGAATGTTTCGAAAGTGGTGTCGCGATCCCTCAACCCCCCCCCCCCTCCTTCCCCTTTAAACGCGTAATCTCTTCGCGCACTATGGAGGACGAGCGTGGAATATCGCAACACACTGGGTTATTGACACGCCTCGCTCTCTGTGAAACCCTCTCGTCACGAGGACGGCTCTCGAGCGCGGTCGCAAAGTGGGACGAGTAGCAAAAGCTACACACATGTGGATGTCGCGATGGGGGTAGCGGGAGAGAGCGGTGGGCGATTGGGCGCCGTCGTGGCTTGAGGGAATAGCGGACGGAAAAGGTGGGAAAAGTTTACGAGCCCCTGCCGGCGGATGATGGAATAAATCGTCGATCCGACAGGTGTAAGTTGTACGATGAGTAAACTTGAATCCTCCGCGCTGGCCGCAACTTTTCGCAACACAAACACGCGCGTCCGTGAATCCGCATTGATGGTGACACATTATCATCTCCCCGTTCGCGGTTTTCGACAGAGGAGCGACGAGAGCTTTCCGCTTTTCGTGGGAAAATTTCGGCGTCTGCCAAAGTACGCGCCTCCGGTCCCGCGTCGCTCTTTTGCGGGGAACAATGGGATCCCGTGGGATGGGATCGAGAGTCAGTGTGTGTTTGCAAAGCGCAATTCAGTCTAGTACACCGAGTTGAGACGAAATTTCAGCAACGAAACGAGCAACGACTGAGGTATAAATTATTATTCGAATGATATATACAAAATATACATATATATCTGGAATAATTTTTAATTCGTTGGAGCGCACGAGCGCAAAAACAGGAGCGCTGAAATATAGATATAAATCGAACGTGATATTAAAAAGAATCCATTTTCCTAAAATCGGATGTTGAGTTTATCACACATTTATCTTTATCATTTATTAATCAACGTCATTTTAGCAGCAAAATATCAAATGCTTTACCATTGCAAATTCTGTCATATAGAATCTACGATTTATACCCAATTGACGTGACGCAACCACGTAAACGAAATTTATAAACGAATAATACGAGCATTATTTATGAATATACACGTAATGTTTATAAATGATCTCCATTTGGTTGCAGCACCGGTTGGAGATGAGGAAAGCGGCTCTGTTAACCGTCGTAACGATTTTGCTGTCGGTGACGGCACACGATGCCGCGGCAGAACTTTACACCGCTTTGGCGGATATGGAGGAGCTGCTGGAAACGGAAGCCGTGCTGATTGACACGCTAAACGGGTACATCACGGCACAGGAGCAACGATTGGCGACTCTGCGAAGGTAAGAGCATCGTATACAAGTCATCGCCGCAGCGCAACCAATTCGGGGCGCGCACATCTCGGATTATCCTTACCCTCGCAGAGACGAGGGTTAGGACTTACCCTTCCTCCTCGTGATGGGATTCCCTCACCAGCAATTCGCCTATTTGTCGCCAGGCAGTGAAGTAATATTTTAACGTGAAATTAAAATAGATCCCTAGTCGAGCAACGTATCGCGTCGCGTTAGAAGGTCTCCAAGCTGTTTTATCGATTTCAGAATTTATTTAACGGCGCCACAAAGCGCGTACCTATATTTTCCAAGCTCTCAGGTTTTCAATATATTTCTATGTCTTACGTAACCCGCGCCAGAAGTCGTTTCCCGTTTTTACCGCGGATATGGGAGATTGCAGTCCTTTGTACCGCTGCTATCGGGCTCCGGGCTCGCTGTGTGCGCTCGCCAAATTTTTTTTTATATACCTTTTTTTAGCATTTCGCCAAGCGTATGTATTCGTTTGATGCATCGATATTTGATCAGCCATATGTAACGAATCATTCTATAGAATAATTTTTGCTCGTGATGTCGAGTTCTGTTAAATCTTTTTTTTTTTCTATCGATGCGTAACTGCGAATAATCGAATTTGGAGCTTTTACGGTTACTGAATATCATCATTTGACTTTATCGTATATTATATCATATCATACAGAAATTGTTATCAATTTACATGATACAGGCGCTAATTAAATGCAGGCCGAAAAATGATGTAAAAATTGAATAGCGACGACATCAATATCGAACATACGAAGTGAATGATCGAGGCACTTAGCGACGCAACGATTTCCTCGTGCCATTTGCCTGAAAAGTGCCGTTAAAACGAAAGGTGATTAAAGAAAGTAGGGAATTTCATGGCAAGTCTCGCGAATGGCTCCCTTTCCGGCCAATTGTCCTTTTCTTTCTCTTTATCTTCCCGCGGGTGCGATTTGGCATACTGCCTGATTCGATACCAATACTTCGGGCTACCTCTGCGGATAAGAGAAGAAATGGGGCGAAAAGAAATAAGAAAAGAATGAATATATTAAGATCGGATTTCTGATTCCACTAAAATCGGTAACACTTGCGCTGAAGAGATAATCGTAAAATCGAATTCTGAAATGACCAGCTCCATTTACGGAACGTGCCTCGGAAGCGAGAGAGAATAAGTCCAAAATTATCCTTTTATATAATGCTTGTAATGTCCGGCGAAGAACGAGCTTGCGACGACTTGCGGAATAAAATAAGTCCAATTGAAACTGTCGAGTATGATTGGCAAAGGCTATAGTAGCACAATTATAGATGGAAATTTCCGGTAGCGGTAAACTCTACGCTTTAATTAAAACATGATTTCACACAAACAATTTGAATTTTGTTAAAACGAGAAGAGTTAAATAAATACGAGAGACGTTATTTTATAAATTTTTATCTGACTGAATTTATCCATACGCAATTAATTTAATTTAACTATGTTTCCTCTCTCTCCGGAAAAAAAAATTATTTTTCGAGTTTACATTTCTCTATTTCTCACTTGTGAAACCGCGTACAAATAAATTGTTTTACAAACACAATGCGGTTAATCCAAAAGACAGTTTAAGCATCTCTGTCCGGCACGACCGGGAGCCGGGGTGAGCGGTGAATCGAGTAATGCGCACGGGACAGCGTAAAAGTTTTCAACAACATTTATGTAGGACAATTCCGCACACGGAATTTACACCGTTGACGATTACACGCGGTCGCTCTCGAGAAAATCCTGTCACGGACACTCGACACGAGGAGCGTGTGCCCCTCTCGCAAACGGGATTTTACTCACTCCGCCTCTCAATTTCTATGGCCATTCAAAACTCGCCGATTGCAATCAGATCACGTGGCGATCATTCCGCGCACGCATAGAATCCGGCACCACATGTGCGATCGCGGCGATTCGCTTTTCCACGAATTTCGTTCGTTAATTCCGAATTAATCAAAAACTCGAACGGAATCCTTTTAACGCGTTGATAAATTGCCGGAGATATTGCCGTCGTCGATGGCGCAATAATAAAGTTTTTCCAACTCTATCATCAAGATTATTTGCGCGAGAAACGATTCTCAACAATCGAACAGCGAATTTCAATCTGTAGTCAGTTAATGCGCAATTCGGAATTGATCGTTTATAAAATTTCTTTTTCTCCGTATTCTTCTTATTTTATTCTGTTTAAAGTATAAAATAATGTTGGTGAATATAAAAATGCTGCATATTTTTTCGCTTATTTCTCATTTACATATCGTGTAATAATAATGAGTGTCCATTTCTCTTCTCAAATCAGCTCCTTATTCGAATCCCTATTCGTGCCAATTAAATTCGCAGCCTATTTGATTTTTTCCAACTGCCTATAAATCACCTATCATAGCCGTCGATCATGGTCGACCTATCAAATACGTAGAGAAAATCATTTGCGAAGAATATATCGCCGATTGAACGGTTTCCCCTTCTGCCTGCCGGCACCTGCTCTTTCTCTTTCTCTCTCTCTCTCTCTCTTCTTTCTCTCCCTCCCTCCCTCTCTTCTCCCACATTCCGTTTCTCGTTTCGCATGGATGTTCAAAGTTCGGCAATTGCAATCCAGTCACGTGATGGCCATTTCATACGAGTGGAATTCGAAGGCACATACAGACACATACGCGGAAATGCAAAAGTGAGCGTATAATGGACACACATATGCATGCTGATGGAGATAACATATACACGTACGATTCTACACTCCCGTTTACATATTGCGTGCACCACACGAAAAGATTTATGAATTTGTAAGAAAAATTTGAATATTTTACGTATGATGAGCATTCATGAGCGTTCAAATAAGCGCGAACAAAATTTTGCCAAATGGAAAGACGCGCGCGTATGTTTCGTAAAGATTTGTCGTTTTATTTAATGTTACTCAATAAAGCGATTTTCGTGAAAAACAATTGTAAATCAACTGTTTTGCGACAGGTGGGAGTTTCTGTACGCGAAATATCTATCCTATCTTTCGATCTAACTGCGTAAGTTCAGCAAGTCGCGTTTATGGATATTAAACGGTTTCCTATCTCGCTCACGAAATGAGCATTATTCCGATGAAGAACAGTATTGTCAGGTGCGCTTATCCAATATCGCAATCACGCACGCAAATTGGTTTTAAGCGCGCAAAACTAATGCAGATACTCTCGTTTGACATGGAGAGTTCGACATTTTGCTGTTACACCGTTCGGAATGCCAGGCATCTCGCTGCACCGTGGTAAATAAATAAAATTAAAATTTGTTTTACCATGCAATAATATTTCTCTAGACAATATCATGTGCAAGTTTTTCTTTTTTTAATGAAACACACAAACAAATCCAACGTGCAACAGCGGTATTTTAGATTAAAAGTTGTGTAAAAATATTTTAATAAATATTTTGAATTGTTTACTTAAAAAACACGTAGAATTTGTAAATCAAACAAGGGAAAAGTCGACAATCAGCTAGATAAACTGCATTTTAAGGTAGGGATTTAAGGGACAAACGAGCCTCGGCGTTTGAAACGCCGCGACCACCGGAAGCGCCATTACTGGTATTAATAATCACGATTACGGTGGTACCGGTAGCTGTTCAACGCTCCCTCGAGAGGGAGAGCATCGGTGTAATTGGCTCCGATAAGATAACAAAGTTCTATCACAGTCGTCCGCGCCTGTAACTATTTGCTTCTAATTAACCGTCCGCGTAACGATCGATTTGTCTTTATCGTCGATTCGAGGGAATCATGTTGGCGGATGCAGAAACGAGTCTTCCTCGAGTATCCTCATCTAGCCGATACTCGTTATCTTTCATTAATTGCCGCCAGCATTGCAATTGTCGATTTTTATCGCCAAAGGCCGTTACGGTGGTATAGATGTTTGTGGACGAATATAAAATAGAGGCGGTCGCTTTTTACCTTTTTTTTTTATACGTTACTATTTTTCGCATTAAAAGAAATGAATATATCGTCATTTTTACGTTAACAAATTTTTGCGAACGACGGTGCAATTAAAAAAATTGGATACATCTGCTGCGGTTACTGTGAATTTTTTTTAGGCTTTAAATCATAGGTATCTGCTTCGCGAAATGTGAAGTTGATATTTTTCGGAAAAATGCCTGATATTGATCGGAATATTTGGTTTGGTCACAGGGCCGGGCAATAAAAGAGAAATGTATATTTGCACATAAACGCGTCGCACATGTGTGTGTTATCTATATTTAATTTTCTGGTAATTAGAGGAAACACGACTGGAATTATCGACGGAATTCCGGTAATATTTCTGCTTTTCGCAGTTACGTGCCACCGAGAAATCGATCGCGCGGTATGCGCCGCATGAAATTCGATCCTCGGATGACTGCAATATTTTCCGCGATAAGCCTGAATATTCAACAAGCTTAAGATTTTTCAATTGAAGTTCTTTTATTTTATTTATTAATTTTTTTTTATAAAACCCGATTGAACCATCCGACAATAAAGTCCGGATTTTAACGAGTACATTTCGCCCTTTTTGCCTCGACGATTATCCCCGGAGAAATAATGAACGAATTTCGAATATACGATGTCTCTTGAAATATACAGTTTATCCCGCTCTCTATATATCGACCTGTGCGCTGTACTCAATTACCGTAAGTTACTGCTTTCAGTTGTGCAACTGTTCTTATTGAAGCACAGCGCACTGTAAAGCGAACGAATTGAGCCAGCTGTTGCCGTGATAATTTTTATCAGTTACGCTTCACGGTGTACGAAGTATTCTATCAAAAATTGATGAGTAAACGTTGAAATGTTTGAAACAAAATAACATTTCTGTTAAAAAGATACGTATCGTCATTGAACGTGTGCAACGTGTTTTTTGGGGCAAACTCTTTCAATCAGCGTTTACATACGGATGCTCCGTGCGGTAATATTGCTGGCAGGCAGCAGCAGATTGGATCGAGAGGCAAGTCGCGGCATAGAATTACGTATTGAATACTCGTGGCAGCATCGAAGATGCACAGTACGTGTCTGCGTGTACACACGATCCTACGTGCTCTGCCTTTAGGCACTGTATGGACAATGCCTAGGACGCGTATTAGCGATGTATATGTCGCCGTCGTGTCCTGATATACTATCACTCCGTGTAACATCGCGTTATTAGTACGAAAACTAACACACGCGACACACTCAGACGCTGTTATTAGCATAATTGTTTAATGCGTATTCGGGGGTTTTGTATGGAAACGTTGGTTTGTAAAACATCGGAAGACGATCAAGATAGGAGTCTCTTTTTATGAAATTATGTTCTTTTATTTCTAATTAAGAATAAAATTATATAAAATATATATCTTTAAGATATCGTTAAAATATCATCTTATGCTGACTTGGAAGTCTTTCGACTAAATCAGTTTATTCAGTGTCGTAATCGGAACTTTTGCTCTATACACTTTAAACACTGAGCGAATGAAAAATTGAACGTACAGAATGTGAGTTTTCGCTGTCAAAGGTCGAAAGATGTATATGTCATAACAAATGCAAACAGAATCAGATTTATCAGATTTCATTTGATTCGCATTCAAATTGTTGCTGATGATGCGATACATCAAAGTTGGTATGCAGTGTAAACAGAAATAATATACCACGTATATTCATTGTTCGCTCTAAATCGGGAAACAAGTGATCTGCGTGCGATTTTGTTTTACCATATTTTACTCTCTAATTAGCAATGCCATTCGTAATTTTTTTTTTCTCTTCCGCCAATTCAATAATTATAACAAAGTGAGATTTACAATAATTGTTGTATCGTCCGAACGTCAAGATATTCGCGTGTTTCGTTCGTTCGCTCAGCGTATACTTATGTTTATATGCGTGCTTGAAAAATTATGCCCAATGTTATTTAAACATAGAGATGAAAAAAAGCCGGTTTCAAGACATCGAACGGTGTTAAATATACTTCATATATAAATCACACACATTTTCTTCGAGAAATCACTTAGAAACAATAGATGAGAAAAAGAAATATTTATACTTTCACATCAATGACTGGTCATACAAACTTAATATAGAATCTAATATATACAACTTAATATATATATATATATATATATATATATATATATATATATATATATATATATATATATATATATATATATATATATATATATATGTATACACAATCGTAAATAATAATGCAAACCATCGTAAATGAAAAATTAAAGAATCACAAACACACGCACATAATTTGCCAGTTCGGTATTAGTATTTTATTCTACGGCGATCGATACGATCGAAGGTAATGTGTCACGTGTGTTGACAATGACGGGGAACAAAATTGAATGATTCGTGCTTCTTGAAACGGGCGACAGTGTCCTGAGAGAATCGAGAAAGATTTTCTTTAAAATGTTTGTTCTTCAAGTTTATTCTCTCTCAACATTGCTCTGGTTTATCAGACTGGGTACGGTAATAAAGCATCGGTATAGTCGGCGTAGTCTGCGCAGTTGGCCCTTCCACATATGTGATATAGCGCAGTAAACGCGGATAAAAAACCGCCGCATCTGGATTGAGGGGCTGTAATTTGAGTTGAGGAATCTGGTTCAAGTGCTCCTGCAAATTCTTTCGAGTCATCCCATGCAAGTCGGCCACTTCTATGTATTTCCTCCATAGTTCTCTGCAGGAGCCTATAGTGAGTAAAGCGACTGGATCGCCAAAGACCGCCACGAGACACTTGGCCCTCGTCATGGCGGTGTTTAGCAATCGTGGATTCGTTAGAAAACCATAGTCTTTGATTTTGGTTTCGGCGGAAAATCTGTAACGATCGAAAAATGTTATTTGAAAAATTATCTAAAAGTAATGTAAACTTTTGGCATTGGCGTTAATATCGCGATACCTGTCAACTGTCCTGGTCCGGACTGTGCTGATAAAAACCGCAGTGAACTGCTTGCCTTGGACGTTGAGCACTCTCTCGACGGACACGTCAAAAAGATGACGTTTGCGTAATTCGACTCGCAGCAGTGTTACTTGTTCAGGATAATACGCCACGACTCCGATGGATCCTTCGTCGTATGGGCCCCAATGCTCCGTCGGCCACATGTTCTTCAATTCCAGGACACGATTCGCCAGCTCTTCCGCCTCCATAATATGAAAGTATCCCGTAGAGTGTATTCCCTATCAATCAAAAATCGATCTCGACGTTTTTTTTTGTTTTTCATTCTAGAATCTAATTGAAGCGCTCGGTGCAACAATAACTCCATATAGTTAAATCTTTTGAATGCCGAATAATTTTTATACTTTTGTACATGCATAAATAATAACCTATAATTATACATTATATCTTTTTTGCAACAACTTGAAATCCTTTTTTCTACAAAAATTGCACCAAACTCTTGGTTTTTACATGTGTTTTTCTAAATCTGTGTACCGTATTTTCCGCGCCATAAGTGGCGTAAAACATCAACGGCTTCATAGTTGGATGCCTCCTTAACTGTGTGTTGGCGGGTTTAACGATTCCATCGTAGAATGCCTCGGACATGTATTTGATTATGTCTGCATGTGCGCGATAATTCTGGCACAGGTGTATCCGAAACGGATGATGCAACGGATACAGGTCGCACATTCTTTGCAAGAGACTGATACCTAATCCCCGTTCGTTCGCCAACATGTTGTAGATCTCCGGCGCGAGTTGCATCTGATCACCCGCCAGAATCATACGAGTCTTTGATTTTGCCAGGTTCAGAGCTATTAGCGCCTCGCATTCGATGGCCTGGGCTGCTTCGTCAATGACTATATGTGTCGGCGACAGATTCAGATTGTGCAGGCAGCTGGAAGTTGCCAGAGTTGTCACTATTAGACCATGATCTTCGAGATCCCTCTCGACCGGGTTGCGGAAACGACCGTACTCATCCATCAGACAATATTCCTGCACTACTGGATGCACCTAAACCAGAATCACAAGCTGCCATTGAGTATCTTTCTTTAACGTTCAACAAACTAGGCAACATTGTTCACCTACCGTGTTTAGTGCGCGCAGTCTATAATATATTCTAATGGGTTTCAGCCGAGGGTGTTTGTCCCTTTTGTACCAGACATCGAAGAACTCCTTGATGTAAAGATCAGCGGCACTGTTGCTATGCGTACACAAAAGTATCCGGTTATCTGGGTTTTGCACAAGCATACGCAGCACGTGTGCTATGGTGTATGTTTTTCCCGTACCAAAGGGTCCTAGCAAGAGGACCGGTGAGGGAGTCTTATTCGTCAATGTCATCGCAGTTACGGCCTTCTTCTGCTCCTCGTTGAACCTCGAGTTCAGGAGTAAATTGGAAAGGAGGATACTAAGATTGTTAGCGTCGATCTGCAGGAAATTTCCGAGAATTTGGGCCTCGAATTGACAATGTTCGTCGTTCAGGAACACTAAATTCACGTCCTCGAGGCTGTCTATCGCCAAGTGCCACTCACAAAAATTCAGACGATTCAATACGAATTGCACTTCCACTTCGCGCTCGCTGTTTATTTCCAAATTGCAGGACCTGACGCAATCTGAGCTCAGTCTAAGCATGACGAAATTCAAGCCCTTGTCTTCAATGTGGGCTTCGAAGACCGCATGTTCCTGACTATTATGAGTCACTTTCAGTAGAACGCTATTACAACTGCGCTGTATGAGCCTTCCACTCTGCGTATCCTCCAGGATGTCCCGTTTGAGGTGGAGCTGCGATGGCAACAAATTTCACGCGTTGGCTACAAGCGGGAGAGAGAAACGACAGATCCTTAGTCGGTCTTAGTCGGAAATGAAGGACTGACTAAGCGAAAATCAATCGAGTTATTAGTGAAAATTTACGCGAGACATGCAGATAAGTGTGACATCTTTACATCCGTAAAGAAATCCAAACGATCTTGCGCGGCAAACGCACAAATAACAGAAATAAACGCGCGATGGACAATGAAAGGCAAAAACTTACTAAAAAAACAAAAAAAAGGAAAAAGAAAATTGAGTTGTCTAAAAGCCAGAAAGAATCGCACCTGACCGAAGAGCTCACCCGAGGGTGTGTATTTTGCAACTGTAGAGCCGTCGATATTCACTAGTACATAATTCGACGAGATACGCAGCAGCGTGGTTTCATTGTGTCTCGAGAGCTGCTCACTCCGGGAGATCTCCTCGAGAGTTATCATCTCGTGCATGCGACCCCGATAGTTTTGCGGCGTCAGTTTGCTATCCGACAGCGTGTCCTGGGTTAAAAAGAAGTTGTTCATATTGGGAAGCGGATAGATCTTCGACAGGATGATTTCCCGCGGCTCGGGGCGCGGCACGATTGCCGAGTGGAACTCTCGCGGATTCGGCAATCTTGGAGGCATCAATGACAACCAATATCTCGTGGCCTCCTGGATCCGTGCGTAATCTGCGATATTCGGCAGATAGTCCGCGCAGATGCTTTGCAGTAACACCGGACAGTGTCCGAAGCCGAAGATAATCTTTTGTCGATACGCGCCGTGTTTGCCGGCGGTGAACACGATCCTCACTAAGTATTGTCTCTTCCTGTCGGAATACCATTTGTTTGGGTCAGGATCGTACCACTCTTGACCGTTTGTCACGCCGATCTCAACGCCGTCTGCTTGTACCGATTTCAAGGTGAAGTTGGCCCGATGATCGTCGCATAGCAAGGCCACATTCCATAACTGTTTGTTTCCTTCGAGATTAAGGATTGATAGAAAAAAACAGATAAATCCAAATAGTTTAAATAATCACGTCCTTCATTGAAATGTTACATAGAAATATAATTTTCCATTGTTCGATTTTGATTTCTAGCAAAAATATCGCTTCATTAATGATAAAAGAAAATTAATTGTATAGCTTATTTCAGACAATTGAAATCATTTCAAAACTTTTTCATATTGTGAGATGTTATAATTTTAGTATTATAAATTAGAGTAAAGTGGCTAAAAGTTAGCAAAGTAATAATGAAGGTATCGCTTAAGATTGATTATTGATTAAATTGATTATGCGTAAATAAAGAAAAACACATTAATCACGTAGTTCATTTCAAAGGAGTATCGAATTTACAAATTATCCGACTCTATTGTAAAGTATTAAATGTTGGAAATTAGGAAAAAAAAATATATATATATATCGAAACAATTACATCCACTTGAAATGTTTTTTGCATTTATGTTCTTGAATTTATATCGCAAGCAAAACAACATTTGGGCGTCATTCATTAACAAGAAAAGTTTGCTAATGCAGATATGTGGATGATTATCGATACCGTTGATCCGGCGATATATACATGCAATTTCCTTTTGCCCACCAAACGACAACAACGTTAGACGGCAAAAGATGCCACTTACCTATCGCGATGATTGTAAAGTACCATTCATAAACGCCTCTGTTATCGACAATCCGACAGTTGGCACTACCATTCATCCAAATATATGCACCCGACTGATTTTCACACGTGACAATTGTATCTGGTTCAGCGGATTTCACCCAGCCGCGTCGCACTCGCTCGGGGAAATCCGTGAGGAACGGCGTGGTTTTGCCGTTCGTCTTCCAGTTGTACGTCGTATCCGCCATGATGGGCGTTCGCGGTCGATTCACAGACAACTCACGACGAACAATCAGAACTGGCGTTGAGGGACGTTACATGGTTCTTAGTTCTAGATACGGAGAGTCTCGATGAATTTTCGTCACGCAAACGAAAACCGGCACATCAACAACACTTGGGTCATCGCCGTCGTCCATCCACCTGGCGAGATGTTTCCAACTGACGGCGCTGACGGCGTCACGCCGCCGCGACGACTGGAGTGCATGCGCAGCGGCGTATATGCCGCGTACGCAACTTGATAATAGGTGGCACCGCTTTTATCGAATGTGAATAAGGACGCATTCAAAATGTCGGAGCATAGTCGGCACAGCAGAATTTAACTCTGCGGTTCTATCGGTTCTACCTCAAAAGAATTCGATGAATTTTTTTTGCAATTATAGCAATTAACCGCATGATTTTTCAGACATTCAAAGTACGTGATTATAATTTATAAATTATAATTTCGGAATTGTTCATGAAATTTATTAGATTCAATAAATTTGATTATTATATGTTACATTAGCTGTGTGTGTGAAATAATAAATCGATTAATATATTATACATATATGTTACGATAATAGAATTGAACTGGAGATGAAATGTTTAATATTTAATATTTTATCATTGTAATTTAATATTTATCTATTTGTGGAAATTAATTTGAATCGCAAAGAGTTAATCTATAAATCCAATAATAGCAATTTCATGTAGAATTAATTTGGGTTAATCAAATTTCAAAGATACGTTATTAAATCAAAGCTTATTTAATTTAAACTGTAAATGCGGGACTATTGATACGATCAAGCCAGAATCGGCGAAATATTGTAATCCCTTAGAGTTTTTAAAAATTGATATCGAAATAAAAATTTATTCCAAGTCTAGCCAGTCTAACGCGACATTTAAAATTAATTTGCACGATATATATAAAATGAAACTGACGTATAATTGACGTTTCTAATATTATAAAAAACTGAATAATATAAAACGACGATATCGTATTATAATATATTTTACTCTACATTAAAATAGAATTTTAAAACTGCCTAGTCGTTTAAGAGAATCAGTATAGGTTCAACGAGTTGCGCACGAATACATTAAAGTTAAAATTTATGGATAAGTTTCGTGGACATTACAGCTGATGCTCCGAGAGCTCTCCTTTTTTTCTTGCGGTATAAAGTTGCATCTGCAGGGACGAAGCATTCCCGCATAACGATAAATTTTCATGCAAATCCTCCGGCGGTCTCGCGGAACCGGAAGTGACTAAATGACGATCGCCATTATCCTCGCGAGCGTTTCCCCGGGAGGGGCTGTGGAGTGCTGAAAAAGGGTGACTGAGGGATAAGAGCGACAGGTTGGTGGTATCCACCATTGCATCGTATCGTACGGTGAGTTGAAAGCTTTCCAACTGACGACCACTTTGCGCCAGTCAAGGGTGTAGAAAATGCGGGACCGCATTGTTTTGAACTTTGTCTATACAAAATACAAAAGACGATGATGTTATCGATATATTAATTGTGATCGTTATGATGACTGTGAAAATGTAATTTAAAAGAATGAATAAGTTGGCGAAATAAAAATAATTGTGAAATATTGCGAAAACATGAGAAACAAACAGAATATTTGTTTGGAAATGGTATCTCTCGTAATGTTTTTACGTGGAAGCTCTTCCTTTTAACGACCCGTTGCCATTTTTGCATCAAACACGAACCCTGAAACATACTGCGAGATCCGTCACTGTCTCGCGCGTTGCATTGTCCCGTATGCACCGAGCTATTCCATTTGCGCGGGTGACGCGGATGGAGAAAAACATCCGAGAGCGCCATGGAAACTGACCGGAGGCAGCAGCGGCAAATACGGCACAAAGCGCGCCTGTGTTCATGAAAAATGAGAAAGGAGAGATTAAAGTACCTACAAAAGGGAGATATCCTTTGCCATGTACGCTGTGGGATACGCGGCGATCCTTTTGTGGCGAATTTAGCTGGAAACGCATATTTTAATAATTACGCTAAAATTTTTATGCCAGCCGCATATCCTGTCCCTCAGTTGTTTCCCGCGCTGAGAATGATGTAAACCCACGAGTCACGAGAGATAAATTTGAAAATTGAGTGAATTTTCTGAAGTGAGTGAATTCAAGCAAGTAGCTCTCTTCATTTAACATATCTTTATCCCGCATCCCTTTTATTCTCATTCGCTCGCAACTCGGAAAACATAATATTCTCACCCCGACTCATTCTCATTAAAGATGCTTCTCGACTGAAATTGTCGAAAGGATCTGTTACCGGAATTAAAAGCGATGATCGAATCTACCCTATGGCGCTTCAAATGGAAAGCATTATGGGCGTTATGGATGCGATGTCAACTGCATCGAAGAGAGATGAGAGCGAAAAACCACGAGAGGCAGGCTGGACCGATCATCTTTTCGACGCGCGGAGAGACCGCGTATCGTTAATTAAAATCTGTCGTCAGCGATGCGGCGCGCGCTGCGAAAACGGCTGACACGACAACAGGCGGGGAAACCCGTGAGAGGAACGAGTGAAAAATCGCGCTAACGAGACGGCTTTCGTTATTGGCTCGAAGCTGCGATACAAAGAACTATCGTTATCGAGACCGTACCTGTCCTTCTCACGATGCGCCGCGCGTGAACGCCAGTGGGCTCCGCGCCACTTTTAATAAAGCCCTTTCATGTATCGTACCGACGTATCATTTAGCCGTGAGCACATAGTATTTTTTCTGCAATGAATTGCAATATTACACGAGTGAAGAGTGCCTTTGAGATAACGCATCTAGAACGCATCAAAGATACTATATTAAAACGACGATGTTAGGTCCATTAATTTTTTTGTGCATATTTCGTGATCCGTGTTTGATCAGAAAGCAATACTTTTCATCTCTTGGTATTGCAAATTTCTGTTTCTTCTAAAGTTTTTATATTGCAATATGATTATTTAAAAAGATATTAAAAAACTATTTTATAATTTATTGAACATATTTATGCAAGATCCTTTTATTCGAATTAATTGTTCTAAAAAAATTATTTTAATTATTGCAGCTTATTTTAATTGCTGCGTCTCATTTAATGAGAAATTTTCTAATAATAAGCAAAAATAATTTTCTAAGAAAAAACTATTATTAAACAACAGTATTTAATCATTCTTACATTCATTAACTCGATTTATGCCTCGCATAGTTATAAATATCGGCGGCTCGGACAGATTAAGATTTATTAACAACAATTGATGATAAGTAGCATTTATATTAGAACAGATATTGACAGTCGTACACCGACCCGTACAAATTCGAAGCATTTTCTACTTATATAAAATAAACCCCACTTTTTTAAAATTTGAAAAAATAATAAAAGTTTGGTGTTTTCCCGAAGAGTTCTAGAGTTTCTTTATTGATTTTAGAAAAAGTTTCGTCGTTTAATTAAAGTAGTGAAAATATCACTTGAAAAATAGAGAGGGGATCAACTTCATGTTGCCTTTCTTTCACGAAACATTGTAATTTTTTTCAAGTTTTGAGAGAATTTCTCGAATAGTTCTACAGTTCTCTACAAGAGTTTCAAAAAGAGTTGCGCTAAAAAAATCTCGAAAAATCGATGGCAGGATTCCGGTAGCTCTTCAACGAGTTCTCAAACGAATTCTAGTTGTGTATAAGTTGTCTCTAAGTCGCGAGATGCAAGATAAGATGCAATTTTTCACAAAAGCGGAGCGCCGTGAAATTGATCTCCCCCCAGACTCTTCAAGTAACGTGTTCACTACTTTAAACGATGAAACTTTTTCTAAAGTCAATGGAGAATTCTAGTACTCTTCGAGAGTACACAGAATTTTTCGGATTTTGGAAAAGTAGAATTGACTTCACATAGGTGTACCGGCCGTTCGCAATTCGCAGCAGCTGCGAATGTCAGGTATGAGGTACGTCGCGGAGGTGAGAGAGAAGTGTTCGAAGTCACGCACACCTGCCGCGTTTATTCGCGTAATTTATATGGCGCCTCGTCATATACCTTAGCTAACGATCGACCTGTCACGACAATTGTTGTTTTTTTTTTTTTTTTTTTTTCTTACGTTTACACTCATGATTGGTTTCATTGTTGCGCAAAAATGATATGTCTGAGAGATAAAAGTGGATCCAACGATCGGCTCTGACGTATCTTTCTAATTGAAAAACTTGTCTCGATATATTATTTCTGTATTATTTAATATTATTTATAATGAAACTAAAGATTTATGTTATTTTACAAGCTTGTTCATATGATGTATTTATTTCGACAATATATCAGTCTCGCATTGCTTGCCTTTCAGATGCAGAATTATGCAAAATACAGTAGAAATTCTCCGTATCATTGTATATTTCCTAATTCGATATGCTTCTTTAGAAAATAAATCATTAATTTTCCTGACTCGTCCGCAAGAAGGTTGACTTATGTCTTTTCCGCAGTGACTGATGCACTTTTGTCGCACTTCAGCGCGACATCGGAAACGTCCCGATCCTCGACAGGTTCCTCATCGATTTTAGAGAGAAAAAGTCTCGTCTCGGTTGTACATTAAACGTGAGAACGAATCGACAGGGACGTCTGCTCCGGAGATTCGCAACGCGAGATAAAGTCGCGTCCCTCTCTTTCTCTCTCTTGAAAGGACATCTCGTGTCGTCGAGCATCGCGCAACGTTGGGGACAATGGTGTCGCCAGGTGTCGGAAACGCCCCTGTCGTTCGCCACGAAGTTGATATCACGATAGAATCACGGCCCGATTGTAATTGGAATGGCGAGTCGCGCTGCTCTATCCCATTCCCTTTCTCGTAGATAAGAAGTCGCTGTCGCCTCATCTCGTCCGCGCAGTTTTGAATTACTTAACGATTGCACGGATGCCGTTCTATTTCAGGAGAGCTGAATGGAATGGTCGCAGATGATAATATATTTTATAACTGACAGATTTAGTTGTGGAGAGAGAGAAATCTCTTATCGTTGTCAATTTGATGCAATTTCGCAAATCATTTATCTTTAATGTAAATAAATGAATTTTATTCTCTCTGCTATTGATTTTATTTTTCAACCGATTTCTTTATTCAATGATATCTTCAACGAGCGAAAATGTAGAGAACCGTGAAACCGGTCTTTGTCATAATTTTGAGTAGAATAAAATTGAAAATCAGATAGAATAAAGCGTGCTAGTTTCGCAAAAAAAAATCACATTATTCCGACATAAATTATTCAAAATCACGGTAGGAAATCCATTGCAACGCGAGTGTCTGTGAGAGATCTTGTCTGTGAATTCCATGCTGTTTAGAGACTGATTCAGTTGAAATTTGCACGTCGTGGCACTTCTCGCTACGCGAATTGTGCAAAGAGAGGGTGGCTGAATAATCTAGGAAGGCTTCAACTGCCTAATAAATTATTTCGTACCATTAGATCTTGTGCGAGTTGTTCGATGAATTTAAGTTTAATCCCTTTAGCTATAAACGATAGCATATCGGATAATATCGGTGATTTTCGATCGTGTTGGCCGTTCGATTGTGCTCGTTAGCTGCATCGCTACACCGAATAATTTAACGGGGATTTTGTCAAGATAAGTCTCGTTCCGAATAATTGATTGTGTGCGTTCGTTATACGAATTCCTAAATATGAATTTTTCATATTTAAGTTATTTTTTTAAGTGAGTAAAGTGTAAATTATGGTTATATTCTTGCATTACATTAATGGATTTAATTGTATTTGCAAAGAGTGAAATTTGAGTATGTAAATTACATTTTATAATCTTGCTTTGATTATATCTATGCGCTTCACCGGGATTATGTCCAATGATGAGGCATTTGAAAATTTAATTCAAACTTTGATGAAGCGAAGAGCAAAAAGATTTTCTCAGTTATCGCAGTTTTTTCAACTTTTGTAATGGATGGGAAATCTTTCCTTTTAGAAACGTGGAGGATTACGCGAGGGAACACGAGGAGGCGTCCAGGAATATCCAGCAGTATCTATCGAATCCCATAAACGCTTATCTGCTGGTGAAACGGTTGACCACCGATTGGAAAAAAGTCGAAGAGCTGATAACCGAGGATGTCGGCAAGTCCTTCGTCGCGAACATCACGAATTCTAGGAGCGATCTGAAATTCCCGACTGACGAGGATCTCAACGGCGCCGCAGTGGCTTTGATGAGGCTACAGGACACGTACAAGCTCGAAACCGCGCAAGTTGCGAGGGGCGTCCTGAATGGTGTGCAATATAGCACCGGATTGACTGGTATGTGTAACATACTTTTCCGTCGACAGTTCGAATTAATTTCTAGGTGAAAACTTTATATGTCAAATAATTTTCGATAAATTTCTCGATCAAGAGAGAATAGAGAGAGAGTTAATGTTTATGTACAAAATAGTTGATGTATCGAAGTATAGAAATAATTTTTCTTTTCGTCGAAAATTAAATTTTCTTGAACCATTGACGAAATGTCACAAGTGCCACTTTGCAATAGCATTTTCAATAAAAAAATTCACTGCTAGAAAGAGCTCGCTGCACGATTGCCGAATACAACAGATCATTCAGTGTGATTTACACAAGAATAAATTGTAATAGGCGGCACCCGGGAGCTTCATAGTGCGAAGAAAGAGCGCTTTGCGGTTCACAGGAGGAAAATTAATTAACGAACTAACTTTTCCGGCATCAGTATGCCGCACCCGCGCCGCTGCGTGCTTCCTGCTGCGAACCGAACAGAAAGAAATTCAATAAGATTTCGGGCTACTTCGCGAAAGACGTTTAATGCGAAATACAATAAATATATATTTCCGAAAAAAATCTTTCTTTTTTTTGTTTTTACTCTTGTTTCTGGTTCTTTATTATTCTCTGTAAACGTGCGATAATTCCATGTTTCAGCAAGCGATTGTTTCGAGCTGGGCCGACAATCCTATCACAATCGCGATTACTATCACACGGTTTTATGGATGCAAGAGGCCATGGACCGTCTGCAGGAGGAGCAAAACGCCACTACCACTTCCAAGCCCGACATCTTAGAATACTTGGCGTTTTCAACATACATGCAAGGTTCTGACAGTAAATTATATATGACAGTATGCATCTCGTGCATGGGACGCGGAGAAATTTGTCAGGGAACAGCCGGCACATTTACTTTTCCAGAAACGCAAATATGTTATTCCGTCTCTTTTTATCATCAACTAGGTAACGTCGCCCGCGCTTTGAGCATGACGAACGAGCTGCTGGAATTGGTGCCGACACACGAGAGAGCGCTCGGAAACCGTGCGTATTATCAAAAGGAGATTCAAAGCAAGGCCAGTCAGTCGAAGAAGAAACGGGGCGAAGACGGGCAGGACGACACGGCGATACCTGAACAGGTAAAGTCAACAGAGCGAGATGCTAATTAAGCGAACTTGGATATCGAAAATGTGTGATTTAGTAAAATACAAAAACAAATATACCGAGCACTTAATAATTTCATAAACATCAGACGTGTATATAATATGAATTGTCATTAACTTAAAACAGCGAAATCATACATAATTCACACGGTTAGAGCGCGCGAGAGAAATCATTAAACGGCGGAGAACTTTTCGTCGACCATTATTTTCGGAGATGCGAAAGCTCTCTCGGAGTAATCCCGTTTGCGCGGGCGTCCATAAAGTTCGTTATCGCGCTTGCAGAACTTCACTGTCGCGGAGGAAAGGGTGAAAACGTGGGAGGAGATGACGGAGAGGGAGAGGTACGAAATGCTTTGTCGCGGCGAAGTATCTATTCCGCCGGAGGTGGAGAAGAATCTCAAGTGTCGTTACGTCGACCGTGGAATTCCCTTCCTGAAAATCGCACCCTTCAAGGAGGAAGAAGCGTATCTGGATCCGAGAATAGTTGTTTATCACAACGTGATCTACGATGAGGAAATCGAGACGATCAAGCGAATGGCTCAACCTAGGGTAAATAGTCAGACTGCGTACAAGGTGTTTGAAGATTATCCTCCTTAAATTGGCGCGATTCTTCCCGCATACTCTGTATTCTTACGTGCTTCCGCATGAAACCACGAGAATTCGCGAAATTAATGACAATTTGATGTTGCAGTTTAAGCGCGCCACGGTGCAGAATTACAAGACTGGTGCCTTAGAGATAGCGAATTATAGAATTAGCAAGAGCGCGTGGCTCCAGGAACACGAGCACAAACACGTAGCGGCGGTAAGCAAACGCGTGGAGCATATGACTAGTATGTCCATCGAAACCGCCGAGGAGCTTCAGGTTGTGAATTACGGCATCGGCGGTCACTACGAGCCGCATTTCGATTTCGCTAGAGTAAGTTGACGTCGTAATTCGATTCTCCGCGCTCAGCTGTTCGTTACTGATGATTCCATTTGATTTTACGTGTACAGAAAGAAGAAACAAATGCGTTCAAGAGCCTCGGGACCGGTAATAGAATCGCAACGGTTCTGTACTATGTAAGTCCTCATTTTTTTGCTGCGAGCCAACAGTTTGAAACGATGCGCAATGTTGTCTCGTTTTTTTAACTGCTGCAGATGAGCGATGTTGAGCAAGGAGGCGGCACCGTGTTTACCGCCATTAACATCTCGCTTTGGCCGAAAAAAGGCAGCGCGGCATTCTGGTACAATCTTAAGCCTAATGGCGAGGGAGATTTCAAAACTAGACACGCGGCCTGCCCAGTACTTACAGGATCCAAGTGGGGTACGTTATTAGAATACTTACTATTCTTCTCAATTACTTTATTTTTTATATATTTATTTTTACAATATTTTATATTGTCTTTAATTATAAAATTATTACATTATTATCAATATACAATTTTTAACACTACTGGCACTTTAGAAAGCATAAAAATGAATAAAAGCTAACGTTTTAACATTAGTGTACATTTGATTCATTTTACTTTAGACTTTTATATCGCAACATTTAATAAAACTTTAGAACTTTAGAATATACATTTTCTTTATTGCGATACGTTGAAATCTTATATTTTAAATAAAAGAAAGAAATGGTCTTTAAAATATTAAGATGTAGGCATTTGATCTACTTTTAAGATTCAAAGGCATTAAAATGAACAAAGTGCACATTTAAATTTAGGATTACAATTTTAATTTGGAAATAAATTAAGTATTTAATTTTATGAATATACATTAAAAGATCGTCCAATCGAAAATTTAATATCTTATTTGCGACTGAATACTATTTTAGTTTTGTAAGTTATATTGTTATTTTCAGTGGCAAACAAATGGCTACACGAAAGAGGTCAAGAGTTTCATAGACCCTGCACGCTGGAAAACCAGGCGACGGACGAAGTAGACGTCAGGCACTGAAGAGAGCATCTTCCGTGACTCCGACAGAAGATAAACAAAAGAAGCGCATACTAAGAAATATTTCGGACCCTTTGTTCTGAATAAAGAGACATTTTATTCTCGCAACGGTGGCGACTCTGTAAGAAGGCACGCGCGGTACGAACTGTCGTTTGAGGACGAATGAGGACGGTTCGGTCCGCGTGTAAAAAGCGACAGTGCAATTTAGCATAGGTAAATCGCGAGATCGCTTCTAACGCTTTCGAGTATGTCACCGGCACGGTTCGCGCAGTTTAACATCCATATCGCAGACATGGTGATATCGCTTACACGATGATCCTTTTTGCTGGTTTACTGTGGAACACAATTCCTCGCATTACGACAGCGATTAATGTTTCCTTAATCTTCGAGATATCTTAACCGCAAGCGAAAACCGGTAAAAAGCAACGAAACTATACAAACAAGATTAAAATCGGTCGCTTTGTTTTCCCGTGTCTTTTTCCTTTGCTACGGCTCTCCGTAAGCGTAAATTGTTGCTGCGCAATGTACGAATCGCGGCAACTGCAGTAACAAAGTTACTTTTTCACCACACGGGTTTGCACAAGGTTTTGCTTTCAATCCGATTCAGCGTTGGCTGCTCATCATCTTGCAGTTCGCAGTAAATGTAACGCAGAAGTGTTTGGAGTTGCCGCATGAGCGCCGCCGCGGATATAAAGCGGAGAGAGTGGAAAGAACAGGCTTCCGCAGGCCGTTGCAACTTTTGTTCCAACGAAATAAAAACGAGAGAAACGAACGCAGAGAGCGCGCGCATGGTTTTACCGGTTTGTTGCATCCGGAGTTTTACATCGTTTTACACGTTTACACGTTTAAACGGACTTTTCATGAGAACAAGGCACGCTTCGCCGTTCGCTACGCGTAACGTTAATTGTTTCTACGAGAGTAGCCAATGTACTAAGATATTACTACACGTCATAGCCAAAGCAATAATAAATTGCGCACGTTCTGGCCAGTCCCCTCTTATCGTAGATATAGTATAATGTAGAGCAGTGAAGAGCGCGATGTAATCATTAGCTCGTAGATTAATTGTAATTTAAGCGTGATCGTTAACGCGAACCTCCAAATCGCAGGGAGATCGCATTTCGATTCTGACATTATCGTGCAATAACGAAGTACTTTCGCCGTGATACTGCGCTCGAGAATTTCGCGACAGATCGTTTTTCGTCAGCTGTAAATAGCGATGGCATGTGATCCTGTATCGTCCGATCTTTCCGATCGAACTAGGCTGTATACGAATTGTTTGTAAAAAGGAGGACAATGCTATTCGGCGGTGATGCCAATGATGTAATATACATATATGAGAATAAGTTGCATGTAAGATCGTTCTATTGTAGCGGTACTCAAATTATCAGCCTTTTTGTAACAAAATAAGGATTTATATTGTTCAAAACGTAATATACGTACGTTTATTTTCCTGAGAATTATGTAATCATGCAGAACTAAATAAAATAGCGTGTTTGATTGAAAAATTATCTTGAAAAATTATATAAGTGCCAAATTTAAGTTTTTTTTTTTTTTCAGTAATAGTAAAAAAATATATTATTATATTATTTGTTTTATTTTTGTTATAAATTTGTTAATTTCTATTTTTGAATAGTTATGAAATGTGCTGTTGCAAAATTTACATATAATTTGAGAACTGCTACTATATGAAATATAGGCGGCCATATGGTTTGAATATCCCGAATAGATTGTTAATATTTAGCGCCAGTATGTGCTGCAGTATGTTATACTGCCGTACGAATATAGGAGCATTGCTCCCAATCGAAATTTCAGTGACGAACGTACGAAGATTATATCAATCAATTAGAGCACAATTACCGCATATATATATATATACCATTCTAAAGTTATACCGTACTTTTTGTATCGCGCAAATACGTTTGTCCATTACATCATTATTGTAGAAAATAGATTTATTACTAAAAAAAATTACAATTTTACTGTTTCATCTGATACAACTTGCATTCATGCATTAGATAGACCTTAAAATTATTTAACATCGAAAGGGCGTAGCTCTAATAATATGTCATTTTATTTCCAATTTTATGATGATGGTTCTACCAATTCATGTTGAAATCACATTCACAATATTTTAGTCTTCTAACAACATGTAGTATCTAAAAATACTGTTTACGTAAAAAGTGTATTTTTTTCTAATTCTTCAAAAATGTGTTTTTTAGAAATAAAAAATGTTCTTTTAATAACGAGTAATATATTCAATTTTATATTTCAATATATTTGCTATTTTATACCACTTTCGGGCTTTATATTTATATTAAATGAATTATTTATTCTGTTATAAGAACTTGTTTCTCAAAATTAATTTGTCTTGAACGAGAAATATATACGTACGTTAATAATTTAAATTTGAATTAAACTTTAATTATGAAATAGGCATCGATTTAAAAATAGTAATTGAAAAAATCATTGATGAGCTACACGGTACACTACTTAGAAAAATTTTGTAAAATATATTTTATACCAATAATTTTGTATATCACTTTGCGAAAATATCATGTCAACTATAATATGTTACTTAAAATAGAATGATTATTAAGGACAAACGGAGAATAAATTAAGCTGATAATGCTGAAGGATGCAGAAAGAAACAATCCAATCGCATCATTTAAATGCGAATGACTGATATCTATCTAATTGTAATTACCATCATTTTGTTAAAACGAAGAAAGTAAATAAAATGAAATACACAGGAATGTCTATGAAATTCAGTGATAGGCATTATTACAATTTATTACTACTTTATTAATGCTTTATTATTATTACAATTTATAATTATATTAGTATTGCTTTATTGTTATAATTTATTATTCGATTATGCATTAGTTATGAAACAAGTTAAAATGAGAAAACTTGATTATCAATGATTCCATTCCATTGATACAAAATGTTTGATAATTAACTAAAAATTATTACCAATATTATTATTAAGCATGGTGACAATGTTTACTTTTCAAGAAATTTCCGAATTAAAAAAATTGCTTTTCTTACACACGATGTTGAATTTTACTTTGTTGACTCGTACTATACTTTCTCGATTTTAGCAAATATCTTTGGCCAAGGACGCCTAATTCTCCAATTTTTTTTCAACGGCCAGAGGACGCGATCAGACGTTCGCTAACCCTACTTGATAAAGAAAAAGCAGTAGATTTAGTGTCAAAAGACCAATTAAATATCATATGGCACGTTAAACACATAATAATAAGGGAAGAAAAAAACAGAAAGAAAAAAAAAGAAAGAAAAAAAAGGAAAAAAAACAGTAGACGCGATCGAGCGTCTATTGGCCCCACTTGATAAAAAATAGACGGTGGACGCGATTCTTATTTCTAGGGTCTCTAGTACACGTCGCAACATTGCTGCCATCTTTTCCGCACTCTGACCGCAAATATGGATTTCGACGATCGTTCGGCAAGGAGAGCCGTGTATTACTCCGCTGTAGTTGCCATAGAAACGGTTTACACGGAACTACTTTCGGAGTTCACTCGCTTGTTAATTTCGATCCGTCAGGTTTGCCGGCAGCGGGCGAACGTTTCTTTTCGTAATTTGCGTTATCGCAAAAACTATCAGTTTTTCAACCTGAAGTCGTCGGATTCCATCCGAGAAACGTTCCCAAGAGCGCAATCAAACGATTTAAGGCCATCGTTCTCCTTGACATCGTGTGCTATCGTTTGGGTCTTGTGAAACCGTTTGCAACGGCGGAACCGTGTACTGCCAGCAGCAAGATATTTGCATTTCGCGATGTAAGTACGCAATGACAATGTTGCACGGGATGTGAAATAATCTCTCTCGATGACGAGTCGTCTTCTAGAGTATGCAAGATGTCCGTAAAATTCTTCGTAAAAAAAGTATTACTGTATACAGCAGTCTGTCTTGATAGACCGTTAATCGATAGTGGAAGCTAATATTGATCGCTCGGAAACTGATATCTCTTTTTTTTCTGTAGACAATTGACTCGGCCTTGATGAATTCGCATCGCAATTATTCGCTTAAAAGAACGCGCCTGATTAATTTTTATTGTAATTAAGACTTGTGGGATACTTGAAAGAGTACTTATGTAATACATTGTTACTTATATATATATTTATGAAGAAAAAGAGATAATAACTAAAATTTATACTATTTTTTATAGCAATAGAGTTTTCTTGTTAAAGGAAATGTTAGCTGAACCAAAGATATTTGATTTTTTGTTTTTAATATTTTATGGAAACTAGGTTAATCTAAATCAGTTTACTTCTCAATAGTTAGTACATTGAAACATAATTGTTATGCCTTATTTTACTATAGAGTATCTTAATTTATATTGAAAAAGATAAACAAAGACATGATTTAAAATCCTACAATGATGTTTTATTTGATGCTAAAATGCTTTTCATTGACCAAAGTTTAATACTGACAATGAGTCAGATTTTGAAATTTTATTAATCTTATTTTTGTGTAAAAATTGTCTGGCAACAAAAAAACTGTTACTGAATTTTTATTAATCCAAGAAAGTCTAGACTTTATTAAGTAAATACTTTATTTATAAATGTTTCAAGTATATGTAAAAAATCTATAGGTTTAGTCATGACCGGGATCAGGGTAGAAGCAGTCGTGGCGGTTCTGTTAGAACGGAAGCTACTAGCAGAGGAAGCAGTGATAATGGACGTGGACAAATTACCAGTAGATTTGGCACTCCTAGTAGAGGAGGTGTGAGTAATGTACGAGGTGGATTAAAGGGAAAACAGCCTGGTGGTGGCCTAAGAAAAATGAATTGGGATCTTCGTACTTTGGAACCGATACGCAAAGATTTTTACATAGAACACTCTGGAGTCAGAAACAGGTATTTAGTTTTAAACAGTTATTAAATAATTAAACACCAACATGCACTTATATCTTGAATTTAATTTTGAATTAGATCCGATCAAGAAGTAAATCAATTTCGAGAAAGTGCAGAAATAACTGTAAAGGGTGATAATGTTCCTAATCCTATACAATACTTTGAAGAGGGAACTTTTCCGCCTTATGTGATGGAGGGTATTCGTAGACAAGGGTACTCACAGCCTACACCGATTCAAGCTCAAGGATGGCCTATTGCTCTTAGCGGCAGAGATCTTGTCGGGATAGCTCAGACTGGTTCTGGAAAAACGCTTGGAGTGAGCAAAATTAGGAATATATCAATATTTTAACAAAGTAGAAGAACAATTTTAAACTTTTAAAATATTACAACAATTTTAAAATACTTGTTTTACATTTTCTCCAACTATCTTATTGTCTCCGGCAACTAGCTTTACCAAACTCACTATATATGAGATTTTAAAAATGTATACACGTATGTCACGAAATATTTCACACATTTTTTCAGTATATTTTACCCGCAATCGTGCATATCATACATCAACCGCGCCTAAGCAACGGAGATGGTCCAATTGTTTTGATCTTAGCACCGACGAGAGAATTAGCGCAACAAATTCAAGAAGTAGCTAACTGCTTTGGGGAGTCTGCAGCTGTGAGAAACTCGTGTATCTTTGGTGGTGCACCAAAAGGACCACAGGCACACGATTTGGAGAGAGGTATTGAGATATGCATTGCTACGCCAGGAAGACTTATAGATTTTTTAGAAAGAGGAACTACAAATTTACGTAGGTATGTATAAGTTTCAGATTCAGAAATAAATTACTTATGTATTCGAATTCTGAGAAAATGTACAAACTTTAAGATACTCTTTTCTTCTTTCTTTTTTTTTAATTTTACATCAGGTGTACATATCTGGTACTTGACGAAGCCGATCGCATGTTAGACATGGGATTCGAACCCCAAATACGAAAAATAATTGAGCAGATACGTCCCGATAGACAAGTGCTGATGTGGTCAGCTACATGGCCTAAAGAAGTTCGCGCGCTCGCGGAGGATTTTTTGACGGATTATGTACATCTTAATATCGGTTCTTTGACTTTGTCGGCCAATCACAACATCACTCAAATTATCGATGTTTGTCAAGAATATGAGAAAGATTCGAAGTTGAATAGACTGCTTCAAGAGATTGGCACTGAAAAAGAGAATAAGACAATCATATTTGTGGAAACCAAACGTAAAGTCGACGATATCACGAGAAACATTAGGCGCGACGGATGGCAAGCTGTGAGTATTCACGGTGACAAAAATCAACAAGAAAGAGATCACGTGTTACAAGAATTTCGTACTGGAAGAGCGCCGATTTTAGTGGCGACCGACGTAGCTGCTAGAGGCTTGGGTACGTAAAGTTCTATCTATGGTCATGCTTTGGTGTAGGCGTTAGGAGAGTCACGGTTAAACTGGGTATTGGCAACACTTATTGGATTAGCCAGTGATGGGTTGTTAGGCTGAGGCCGACAGCTGTGTACGTAGCAATGTGTGATGCATTGGAACTTTTTATCATCATTGATTCCGATTGTAGAGCCATGTAAAAATTAAGTTTTCCTATGTGATTTATGTTTTTCATATGAAATTTTTCGTTCTTACGTGTGTATCGAACAATTTTTGAATAACTTATTTTTGTATTAATTTGTTGCTTTTGGTAAACCCATTAAATCCATTTTTTTTTAGATTTTATATAAAATTGAGAAATAGCAACATTTTAGCTATACTTTCATGTTTAATTTGTAATTTTATCTATGAAGATGTCTTTCTGTTGATCAGCTTCAGTGTTGAAAGGAAGAATTTTATTAATTTTGATAATGATGTATATATAAGAACAGAGTTCTAAAAATGCACACAAGCTACCACTAAGTCTGTCTGCTTTTCTTTTTCAGAGGCACAGAGTACCCTAACTCAACGCGGTGTACTGCCAGTATTGGGCAGACACAGTGACTATTTTATTTTTTGTTGCTTATATCTTATTACACTTTCCAAATGGAGAAATAGATTTCTACGCAACTTAACTTGTGTTTTGACTTTTACAATATTACAAAGTAGCAAAATAGACTTTACCATAATTATCAATATATTAATCAATAATCAATGCTGCAAATGACATAAGAGCTAGATCAATGTGTTCAAATATTACTTGTAACAATTAAATGATCTCACGTGGCTTTTTATCTGTAAAGATTTACATATGTAAAACAGTTATAAATGTGCAATTCCCAGTCACATAATACAAAAACTAAAAGAAATGCAATTTCTAGACTTTTTATCTAGTGCCTCTAATTTTAAAGAGTTATTATACAGTGCCTATCAAAACTAATTCACTCAGGCTTAAACCCTAAATTGCTGCCTCTATCCCAAACCAGACACAACCGCTGTGTCTGTCTAATCTCTAGGCCACCAGTATATTACCTTAAGAAAGCAACCAGAATTGCCCCACTTTAAAAGCAAACGGGGTCGTTCTTGCTGATTTCACATCGGAATTTCCAGACGAAAGGTGGGTGTCTAAATCTGTTTTATTCATTGAATTTATCTGGAAATTAATATTAATAATTTTTTATCGAAAACATTAATTATTTTGTATTCAATCAATCAGTTATTTACATCTAAAAATATATTTTTTATTTTCTTTATTTTTTCAAACAATGTGTTACAATAATATGCATGAACATGAGCTCTAACAAAAATCCACGCTCAAGTTGCACTACTAATAATATATTTAAAGAAGAAATATTAATTTATTTTCTAATTCAGAAATCCTAAAATATTTTATCTGACCAGAGTTTAGGATATATATATATATATATATATATACATTTTGTCAAAAGAAGTATAATACTATAATTATTATTCATACATTAATATTATCAATCTTAACATCTATGATTTCGCAGATGTGGATGATGTGAAATACGTGATAAATTTTGATTATCCATCCTCGTCGGAAGACTACATACATAGAATTGGTCGAACCGGGCGTAAACGGCAGACCGGAACAGCATACGCATTCTTCACGAGTCACAATATGAAGCACGCCGGAGACTTGATAGAAGTATTGCAAGAAGCCGGGCAGAATGTTAATCCACGTCTTAGTGAGATGGCGGAGATGGCCAAGGCTGGAAATTTCGCCGGCAGAAGTATGTTTTTATATTTTAATCGCAGTCGTTAATAATCAATTTATTCAACCAAAATATTATCTAAAATCTATATCGACATTATTACTCCAAGGTGGAAAACGTTTCGGTGGTTCTTCTGGTGGTATCAGCACTGACAGGGGTAATGCCCGAAGAACTAATGATAGTAGAGGAAGAGGCGGTTCGACAAGAGGAAGGGGTACATCTCGCGCCGGGAGTGCTTATCAGCCTCCCTCGAGTGCTTATTCGGGATCGGATTACAGTAACTATAGTACTATAAAACCAAATACTTCTTTGAGTCAGAACACGACGTACGGATATAGCACGCAGAGAAACTACGGACAGAGCAGTATGCCTCAAAATTACGGGGGTGGCGACAACTACGGAAGTGGTTATTCATATAGAAGCACAACCTATTAATCACGTTTTTAGTGTGTGATTGATGGCACGTAATAATTGGACAGTGTAAAATGTCATGTTTAGTTATAGCAAATTCAGTTGAATACACATTCGAGTTTATCGTTTTCTGACTGTTGTAATAGTCGTAATAGATAAGGATAACACAAGAAATGAAGATAAAGTTTGCGGCATAATAAAAAAGAATATTAATATAATAATACACGCCACGCTATACTATGAAACGAATAACGGTCGATTGATGTTTGCAGGTCATTAAACATTTGTTATATCTATATGTCCACCGATTGCATATTTCGAATTTAACGCAATGACTCAAAGAAGTATCTACGCAATTTCAATCCATTTCAACTTTGCATGTTATTCTCGTTCAAAAAATATTTGTCAACATTAACAGAGATATAAGTTCCTACATAAGTGTTAGAGTGCAATTGTTCAAAAACCAAAGTTTTTATTTTTCTTAAATAATTTTGAGTTCTCTTTTGCAATATCTAAAATATTTATTTATAAATTTTATGGAACGTTGCAGAATTATGAGATAATATGTATTTACGCAAATTTTATTTATAGTATATTATACTTTGTTGACTGATGTTAGTACTTAAGAGAGGAAACATTGATTATACACAACATATACACTATGTCAAAAAAGAATGTGAGATGAAAGTTATGTGAGTTGAAGGTATTTGCATGCAATACCAAGACCAAAGATGTTAGTATAGTAAGTAATAGTAATTTAACATTAGGTTCTCGTATACGATATGTCCTATTATCGTTTCCTTTTTTTGTGATGAATTTCTTGACAGGCCTAGTTTTTTTGTTTAGAAAAGGACGACTAAAAATTATATTTTGCCATTATTTTATTTTTGCATCTTAGAAATATTATTGTTAAAATCTTAAATGAGTAGAATCTGTTTAGATTTTTCAATAAACATGAAATTTGATTTATTAAAAAATTTTAATGTCGATATTAACACTTTCTCGACCGTTATATGTATATTCGGCTCTGCTGAACGCTTGAAGCCGTTCTATTGTATCAAACTGATGTAAAATCCGACATTTCATATTACACGATCTAATATAAGTGGTGCAAAAAACAGTAAACGTAAAATTGTGATGTGACCGATTTCTGACTTGTACCAAAATATAAGCGTGAATGTAAACGTAAAATACGTGAGCGGTCGCAAAAGTGTTAAGCAATTCTATCTCCCATTAAATTATGACTATGAGAAAGTAAAAATTTATCAACGAATATGTAGAAAAAAAGTGCGATTGTGGTGTGAGCCTTTATACATGAATATTAATTAAATTAATATCATATATAATTAACATGCTAACGCACTAGTGATACAGATCTGCTGTTAGGCAAACAACCGAGTAGATGATTGTTATTAATTTGCGATACTCCGGAAGTGGTTTGATCGATACGACTGCTTTGTTTTTAATATCTGTGATACTGTATACATTCTTTGATAAATTGCTGGAATTTCTTAGAAGATATTCATATGTATCATTCATTGTTACAAAATTAATAAAGCTAACATTTGCTCTCTTGAAAACCGCCTGCTAAGTTTTTATCCTATATTTTCAAGGTAAAATATGTATCTGTTTGAAATATAATAATGTTCGACAGCAGAATACGTTCTAATGTCGAACATTTGACAGAAAAAAAAATCTATTATCCGTTCTCATCCTCTGGTTAATAATTGCTACATATGAAACAATGGCAGTTTATTTCCCGCTACTATTATTTCCGCATAAACAGGAAACTGACTAACCATCGAGGTAAAATATCACGTGTCCGTAGTGTTGTCGCGATCCGAGTAAAGGGGCGCAACGGTCTACTTCCGGCGTTGAACGCACGGCGTATTTCCCTAAAATTTTCTTTATATTTTTACAAACAGTTACTTATTATTTAAGAAATGTTCAACACACTTTACAAATCAAATGCAGAAAAAAAGCGTTTGCGCGTAATGGTTCTCCGCAAAACAGGATTATAGACGAATCATAGTCTACAATTATTCCAGCAGGGACTACTTCTCGTCGGACGCCATGACGTCGACCGTGATGTAGGGCTTTCTCTTCCTTTAGCTGACGGCCCATTGCAGAAGAAGCGCGTGTGGTTAACGTGCTATTCGGAACATTTTGGATTATTAATCAGTATACGCCAGACAAATTGCACGGAAAATAGCGCCACATCTTCCCACTACAATGTAAGTTGATGCGAAATTGTCGTAAAATATTTGTTTATTATCATTCGTTTGTTTTATATTTCGGTTACCTTTCTTGCGTTCGATTAAGTAGCACGCCATTTGCAAATAGCGAGTCTTCCTTCACGATTCGCGTCACGGTGACGCGATCAAGAGACCTGCAACAGAAATCGATAGCTAAGAAACCAGAAAACTCGAAATATTTTTCCTAAAATTAAACACGCGTTTAAATTAACCAAGTTACGCGTCTTAATTGCACAACGTGTACATATACGTGGCCCATGTGAAATATTGGTCAGTTTGAGTCAATTTTTTTTGCAATATTCGGGTTTACCGTAGAATATTGTTCGAAATTTATGTAATAAATTAAAAAAAAAGTAAGGAAAATTATTTCAGCAATAAACCAATTATACAAATTGCATGCTTATATGTTTGAATTAATAAAATAGAAATATTAACGTGTTCGGAAAAAAACGTGGGCGAGTCAAATATTTGGAGAAAAAAAAAAAAATGCTTAGTAAATCTACAAATATTATTTTGCATTTAGTTGAAAATAATAATGTATTAAAAAAATCAATGCTTCGAAAATATTTAACTTTTAAAAGCAACGTGTATAATTCTTAATTATAAAAATATCTATCGTAAGAATAATTTAATAATTTTTTACGTTCTAATACTCGTTGGTAAAAAAAATCTTACCCACGTGGAGCATAAATGTACATTTTAGATTACTAATCAGTAGACGCTAGTTATTTTTCAACAAGGGATGTAAAATCAACATCTAAGATGTTTTTATTGTTTAATCTTATATTCAAAATTGTCTTTAAAATACTTTTATAATTGCTAAATAAGAAAATCTTGATTGTAATTCACAATTATGAATTTAAGACCTGGTTTATTTGAGACAACCTTAAATATAAAATTGAAATGTGAAAATCATAGAAGTCAACTTATGTCGATTTTCCTTCCTGAAAAACAACTATAAGGTTTGTTTGCGTTGCAAGCTTCAACATGCTCCTATTTGCTCCAATACGCTCCAATCTATAGTGTACGTAACGTAGTACTATAGATTGGAGCATATTGGACCATGCGACGCGAACAAACCTCTAATGATACATAAGGTTTGTTCGCGTCGCATGCCTCAACATGCTCCAACTCGTTCCAACATGCTCCAATCTATAGTACTACGCTACGTATTTTATAGATTGGAGCATATTGCAGCGGAATAGGAGCATGTTGGGGCTTGCAACGCGAACAAACCTATAATGATAGCTATTTTGTGGGTAGTCATTAGAAAGTTACAGGATATAGGCGTATATTACATAATATTAATTTTTGATATCATTACACATTTATGTGTAGAGACATAATTAACTTTATCAAAGATATAAATTAACAATGGATTTTGTTTTGTCTTCTGTAATTAATATGTACATGCACAAGGAAACTTTGACGATAGGAAAAGGTATAAGTAAGTATAAAGCTTATAGAAGCAATAACTGGTAAATGTTTTTACTCGAAACAGGGCATATGGCGAACGCGATCGTTCAGACAGACGAGGAGGTGGTGCGCGCGGCGGTGGAAGTCGATTCGGTGGACGAGATGGAGGCGGAGGGGGTGGCAGTAGATTCGGCGGGAGCGGGCATAAAGACAACAATTTTGGAAGCAACAATTTTAAGAACAGACAGCCCGGAGAGCGTCTGCGTAAGCCGCGATGGGATATGAGCAGTCTGCCAACTTTTAGAAAAGATTTCTATCAGCTGCATCCCAATGTGACATCACGGAGTATTCACGCGGTGGAAGCGTATCGTTCAAATAAAGAGATTACCGTGAAGGGAGCTAACGTTCCAGGTCCCAATATTTATTTCGACGAAGGCGGTTTCCCAGACTATGTCCTCAACGAGATTCGTAGGCAGGGATTCGGTGAGCCGACCGCCATTCAAGCTCAGGGTTGGCCCATCGCTTTGTCCGGTCGAGATATGGTCGGCATAGCGCAGACGGGGTCGGGAAAGACGCTCGCCTACATCTTGCCAGCGATCGTGCACATAAACCACCAGCCCAGATTGAGCAGAAATGACGGACCAATCGCCCTAATTTTAGCACCGACCCGAGAATTAGCGCAACAAATTCAGCAAGTGGCGTCGGACTTTGGTATGTCGTCGCAAGTGCGAAACACATGTATCTTTGGTGGCGCCCCGAAGGGACCCCAGGCACGCGATCTCGAGCGTGGCGTAGAGATCTGCATCGCCACACCGGGCCGTCTCATAGATTTCCTAGAACGCGGCACCACGAATCTACGTAGATGTACATATCTAGTGCTCGACGAAGCCGATAGAATGCTGGACATGGGCTTCGAACCGCAAATTAGGAAAATTGTAGAACAAATACGGCCCGACCGTCAGACTCTTATGTGGTCGGCGACATGGCCGAAGGAGGTGCGTAATCTCGCGGAGGAGTTCCTAACTGATTACATACAAATCAATATTGGTTCTCTGCAATTGGCCGCCAATCATAATATTCTACAAATTGTGGATGTATGCGAGGAATACGAGAAAGAGAGTAAACTTATGAAACTTCTGGAGGAGATTTCAAACGAACCGGAAAATAAGACCATCATATTTGTGGAAACTAAGAGAAAAGTGGATGATATAACAAGAGCTATTAATAGATACGGATGGCAAGCAATTGGTATCCATGGAGACAAAAGCCAACAAGAAAGAGATTATGTACTAAATCGTGAGTGCTATTGTTATAATTTTTTAATACGTAAAAAGCAAATGTTAACGATTTTCGAAATTTAATATTGAAAGTTTTAATTATACAATAGAGATATAATAGAATACTTGCTAAAATTAGCGGTACACTTAACAGAAATACAATATTCCTGCAATATTAAAATTTATTACGCTTGTGCGATTCATTGTTCAAGAGAAAAACGAATTGAGCTAAATATCTGTCATTGTTGTTGTGCTCTATTATCTTATTTTTTAGAATCGTAATTTGTAATACAAGAGATGTTGTTTTAGAGTTCCGGAATAGCAGGTCTGCTATCCTAGTGGCTACCGACGTGGCGGCGAGAGGTTTAGGTAAGAATTTTCAGATAAATGAGTATGATGTAAGGGTCAGGCTGCGATGGTTATTTCACATTTGTGAGAATCGTGGTATTGTAATGTGGCAACGGATAACGGCATGTGCCAGACTGATTGACGTTACTCCCTTACCAGGGTGGCTGGAGATAATTTAACGACCTTTTTTTAAGAATTCCAGAAGCGACTAGTTAAACGCCCTATTTTGTTTTGCCATTGACACCTTTTTCGTTTCGTTGGTTTCACGCTAATTTCTTTTCTTCCCGTTCAGTTGATTAATCTGGAATTTCGGTAGCGCGCGTTTGAGCACATCAGAGTAATAATTAACATCGCCATCGTCCTTTCAACGATTAGAGATTAATGAAGGAATAAGTTTTAATCGTTCTGTTAACTTCTTCTAAGTCTTAACTTCTTTTATTATAGACTAGTATAAGTAGATTTTGACGTTCTTTTTTTTCCAATACTATATCACATATATGAATATATATTATACACACTAAACGATCGATGTTGATGATTAAATCCGAACGTAAGTATAACAGAGAAAGGACGTCAAAATATTTCAGCTTTAAGAATAAGAAAATCAGGTAAGCGCTTGTTAGCCAGGTTTATCTCTTCCGATTTTGTACTCTCCGATCGAACCAAGTCTTTTCAGTCTGGTATTAACGTGCTGTTCTATGTGTTTTCAGAGGCACATGCGACGGAGTTTTAGAACTCTACAGAGTTTCTTTGGAAAATATAATTGAACGGGGCGTGACTGCTGGTCGCCGCCCCCCCTCCACCTAACGCTGTGCCTCGGCCACTTTACCACTCGAAAACACTCCTCTGAACCTGCGACTTCCAAAGTATGGAAGTTATAATGTTAGGGCGTTTAGCATGCGAGGACGGAAAAAAAGGGATAGATCTTGCCGGGTTAATATTCGCTAGATTGCATCAAGTCACGCTCACTGCATTAATTGTGATATCTTGAATAGTTGTTGTCAGTTGATCGTCGTTGACCACGCAGACATATGAGACTTCAATGTAAGCGTGGATAATTTTTTTTCATTTTTTTAAATATCGTGCTACGAATTTTATATAACAAATGTTTATGTATTTGTTGAATTTGTGTTGTCGAAGATTCTTATAACTTAGGTAATTTAATTAGTAAATGCGGAATAGCGATTATTAATTAAGTAACTACGCATTGAAGGAAGTCTTCACAATATTGCGGTGCGTAATTCTTGATGCTAATTATTCAATGGGAGTACATGTGGGGGGTTGAGTGGAGAACACGCTCAAGATGTGCACTTGGTGTTCCAACCTCTTCACCGAAGCAATGTACGAGGACCAAATTTCGAAATAGCCAGCACAGATCCATACTTTGGTGCGGGAGAGAAGGGTGTATTGCCTAAGAAAATAAAAACGTAGAGCTCGCTAATACGTGAAGCGAGAATTCCATGAGAACCATCTGAGGTCTGATTCCTCTACATTTCCAAAAAATGTATTTACATTTCCAGCTCTAGTCGCAAACAGGTAATTAACATACAGACTTGCTCTTTGTGGTCAACAGTTGAGTGTTGTGCGAATTGCAAATGGAACTAAAGTTATTGCATTGCAATACTTTTTGTTATTTGAGATCATTTTTATATTTGTCTATCTAACGTCCAAATGCAATTCTAAATTTCGAGCAAGCATTACTGTTGATGATGATGATGATGATGAACAAAAACAGATGATAAAAATCATCTTTGTGTACTTGTTGCAATCGTTTCAAGGTTTGGTACAAAACGTTCATTCAACAGCGACTCAAAGCATTTCTCGTTCTTTAATTCCATTAGCAAGAACTGGTAAAATGCTTGAAAAGATTCGCTTTATAAGTTAATTGAACCACAAAGGAACAAGCGTCTTCTCTGTGTCGCGACTATAACTTATTGTATTACGCAGATGTCGAAGATGTCAAATTTGTGATAAACTTGGACTATCCGTCCAACTCTGAGGACTATGTGCACCGTATTGGACGTACGGGTCGTTCGCAGCGTACAGGAACCGCGTACGCTTTTTTCACTCCTGGCAATGCGCACAAGGCTAGTGACTTAATCCAAGTTCTAGAAGAGGCTAAGCAAGTTGTCAATCCGAAACTCTACGAATTATCCAGAAATCCTGGCGTTTATAAGAGTGAGTGTTGTACATTATATTAAAATTCAACAATCATAAGATGATTTGAAGAGAGAGAGAGAGAGAGAGAGCCATTTGTTTTTCTCTGCATTCATAATTCCGGAGAGAATAGAAGAAAATTATGTCACACTAATCATTTGTGAATTAGGAGGACGATACGGTGGACGCAGCGGAGGTGGTGGTGGCGGCGGACGAGGGTCCGGAGGCCGTGGTGGCGGCTCGCGAGGCTCTCGCGGTGGTCGCGACGCCGGAGATAGAGGCGGAAGGTTTGACCGCTCTTCCGGCGGCGCTAATGACCGCGGCAACAAATGGGCCGGAAGCAGTGGCGGTAGGTTTTCAAGATAAAGAAGAGTTGAATTGATCAATGTATGATTCTGACTAAGTATGACGATTAAATTCTTTTATTTTCTTATTTATCAACACACACGTTTCAACATGTGATTTACGAATGTCTACTGTTCTTCGTACAGGCGGTATAGGAACCAACTACGGAGGCAGCAAATCGTTCGCTCAAAATAATTTCGGGAGCGGGACTTCCGGCAGTGGCTCTAACAGCTACAGCCAAAACAATAGCGGTGGATACGGTGGTGGCAGTTATAGGCAACAAAACGGGTATTGACTTGAAGCGAACGATCCCAAGTGGATCTTGTAGCATGGAAAAAAAAACACAAGAGAAGAATTAATTCTGTCCAAGGTAACAAGTGTTGTTTCCTATTGGACGTAACTGATATGAAGTGACAGATTCAAAGTCGCCCGAAATCGTTCCGAAAAATTCACACTCTCACATTCTCACGAGCATTAGCTTTTTTTTCTATGAGTCTTCTCTAGCATGCATACGATGGTAATTAGTTTCTCAATATTGCAATCGGTTGCGCCAGTCACGTGTATCTGATTTAGGCTAGCTCCTTAATTATTATATTTAAGCGATCTATTATATTGCCGAGTGATGTAGTATTGTAACATTCAATAAAATAGCGTAAAAAAACGCTGGAAAAAACTGAAAGATTGCGTTGCTTTATGTAAATAGATTCTTTTCTACTATTTCGACCGTTTAACGTAGCATGTGTATTTCTTTTTATCTCTTCAATAGTATCCATCAATTTGTAGCGGTATAATTTCTCAAATTAGGGTAAAATGCAAGGTGCATTAATTTATTTCGAAATAGAAATAAGTAATATTTTAAGTATGTATCCACTACGAATAAAAAAAAAAAAAACGAAGTAAAAACATAAATATAGTTCTGAGAAGTCGAGATATTTGTCATTTATTCATAGTGTTTGACATATCAACTCACCTCAGCGATAAATCGTAAGATGCGTATTTATTTTAAGATCGGCAGTTCAGTCGAGATACATTGATCATATGCAATGACATATTTTGACAAATTATATATAAGATATAAATGAATCGTGAAGGCGGATGCGAAAGCATATTGACGATACGCATATTCTGAGATTTTTTTTAATCTAAAATGGATATCTTTAATTGTCACTATTACATGATATCATTAATAATGTCATTATTTTATCGTTATCGATAACAATTACGGAATCCGAAGAATGATTGCCTGTTTCATTCATTGGCTGATCGAGAATCATGCGATCCGGTCAGAGTCTGCCTTTTGATTAAAGTGAAAACATTATCTCCCCGTCTACACATTCTACCGAGATTTATTGCGCCTGACTTGTGAAACTTGTTATGTCTGCTAATTATATGATAGTACCATTTACTTTTCCGCGATGATTGAGTCTCGTATCATTTGCATTAAGATTAGTAATTATATTAACTAAGATTTAATAATTAGTAATTAATTGTAATCGCGATGACGACAAAATAATGATATTAATGATATCATCATGTAATAATGACAAATGATATATATCGTTTTTTAAATTCTCTAAAGTAATTCTTGTTTATATTATTTTAAAAATATTTAAAATTTATGTATTTTTAATTAAAAGTATCTTTTTATCTTAGGA